ACTCCGAGTCGATCCGCGTGTCATATGCCTCATGCGTTTTGCTCGCTCTACGATGCCTTAGGAAAAGGAGCAAATTCTCGTAGTTTCAACCGTTCTTTCCTCTGTTTTAGGCCTTTTTGGGTCCGAGTTGGTTACAAAGATCAACCAAGAGATCAACACTAAGAATTTAACGAAAGTGAAGCACTGTAAAGTTGGACTGGAGGTTCACTTTAAGGAAGCAGAGGGATGCATCGATTCCAAATCGCGCTGTCGTCGCAAGCGAGAAGGCCTATGCGCCTGGTGCCTTTTATGTTGGACGATGAAGCTTTACAACTAAAGAAGCATAATGGAGAACCATTAAAGTTATCATCAGTAAATAACTTAACTTAGTTAATTAATAAAAGCTCCACCTAGAGGTAGTAACTAAAAATATAAATTTTTTGCGTTATCGCAGGAACTATTTTGAAATAAACTCGTCCTGTTTGACTCTTTTCGGTTCAATGTGGATATTTTTGTCTGTGTTTAAATAGGAACTGACTGGATATTGCATCTAAGTTTTGATAAGGATGCTGCCTTCAATCTGTACACATATTTCAAGTTTCAACATATCCACCTGGAGTTATGAAAACTGGGTTAGCGAATATTTTGAGATTTCTCTCAACTTCCGTGGTCTAATAGCTTGTTTACTGAGTTGTTTGCTTATGTGTTTTTTTTGTTCGTTTAGTGGTTAGGGATTTGTGTAGATATGGCTGTAAACAGAATTTTGTGGATTTTTATCTACCCCCCCTCTGTTTTTTGTTTTTTTCATCTTACCCACAATTCTCTCTTAAACACAAGTGACAGTTATTTGAAACCAGTGCGCGCCTAAATCTGGCTTCGGTGGCGTTTAGGAGTTTACATTTCGTTATTGGTCACCTTGAGAAAAGTTTCGCGGAGAGCATCATGTAAAGCTCTGAGATGGGACAAAATTTCTAGTCTGAAATGACACCAGTTTGAAACTTTACGGAGTCAGATCACTGAATAAATGTTCTAAAATTTGCGTCATTTTAAATTTGGAATCGTTAAAATGCTTCTAGTGACCACTAACTTACTGCCCATAGTCAGGTAAAGGCTTTTAATCGGCCTTTAGATGAAGTTTCATTGTTTTAAATTTCCAAGTTGTAGAATGAGTCGATTTTTTTACTAACCCGGTTTTCAAAAATCCAGGTATTTATATATTTTTCTAATTGCCTAAAGTTTATGAAAGGGTGTCCCCTGTTTTGGCGCAACGTACATCTTATCGTTTCTCATCACTTTATTATAAGGCAGTTAAATTAAAGGAGTTAAATGCTTGAATAAACAAACGCTGATTAAAAGTGTACCTGTTGTTATTTTTCCTACAATCCAATCCTGAGATATATGCGTTATTGACCGGCAGACCTTTTCAGTCAAGATGGCTGGATATTGGCCAATTCTTTTGCGCTTTTATTGACCAAGACTACGTCGAGGTCAATAAAAACGCAAAAAAGAATGAGACTAATATTCAGCCATCTTGAAAGAACAAGTTTGGTTAACAAAGGACTTATTATATGGCCAAAAAGAGAATCTTTTCTTGCGGGATCAACGCAGGAAATCCCTAGCGGCCCATTTTGCCCGCTCGGGTAGCCAATCAGGATTTTCATCTTGCCCGCTCGTGGATTCAGCCATATAATAATAATAACAATAAAAAAATATCCCCCCGTGTCCCTCACGCACCTCAGCACACAACAACCGGTGGATCTGCTGGAAATCTTGGTGAACGACCCGAGAGGCGGCCCTGAGGAGTCGCGAGAAGCCCCCAGGGCGGGGAGGGAGGGAAACAAAACAGCTACCCGAATGAATAAGCGAGACACGTGATCTGATTACATGATGTCAGTTAACATCCTCGGGCTAATTGAGCTATTCCCATGGAATGTGAACGAGTACTGATGCCTTGAGTCTTTATAAAACCTGCCTGATAGACTGACTTTTTCAGTTACTTATTTACCTTCATTCGATCTCGCTTCGAGTCTCCTCACTCCGAAAACTGTTCATACGCCAAGTTTCAAATAGAAGATCTAGGTTGTCACATTTGACTTCTTAAAATCAATTATCTTCTATGAAAAAAAATGATACGCTGTTTTCGGTGCGGACGTTCCGAGCTGGCGCTTTGTCGGAACAAATCCGTGAACATGATTTACAGGCAATTACAGTCCTCTCTGAGAGACGCAGAGACGCGCATCCCAGGATGCGTCCTTGTGTTCTTCAGATATTATGTGTCTTTATGTCATCTGTCTTCACCAAAGGCTGTGCACTGACGTTTTCCCGGGGGGTCTTTGTTCATAAATATGCCTAAGTGAAATTCGAAGTTACTATGGCAACCAAGTTTCTGTGTCTATCAAGCAGCTGTGCGAGTTGTCGCGTGACATCAGTAGGATACACCACATTGCTTAGCAACTTCTATACCACAGTGCAGGTTAAGGGTTCTTACTTCACCAGACATCAGATTGGTGTTTTGTTTGAAAGGCGCTTATTCCATGATTCATCAACCCTGTTCTTGTGAATCTGAAAAGCAGGTGTCACCCACTTTCCACAGCTGCACTGCATACCTGCACCATGACATAATAAGATACAATAAAATGTAAATACAAATGAAATAAGATAATATTATCACAAGTTTCCTCCATTTCCTGGTTTGCAAGAGCAATGTACAAGAACTGTACCCTCCGGTAGGAGACTCAACCTTGTACTACCCACATTCACTTTCCTAGTATCTCTAACAATATTAAATGAGACGTTTACTCTTACATGTAGTCTGTGACTTCAGTGAGAAACAGCATAACTTATCAATGAGACAGGAAACCAAAATGATAAACATGAACAACAAAAAATAATTTATGCTATTTTCTTAAACCGTAATCTAAGATAAGCGTTTTATAACGAAACTGCCCCTTCCCACCCCTCCTAGTGACATGTTTGTTCATTTTGTACCTTGATGCCATGGTGAACCATGGAGTACCATGCCATAGCGAAGCATGGATAGCGTGATCACTAAACAAAGTTCAAGAAATCTCCAGATGAATTTATATATACACTTGCAAATTATAAACAATTATTGGATGAGGTTTTTGTGATATCCGGAATAATCAAGGTCGAGGTAAGTGTTATCAGCCAAAGCCGAAGGCTAACCGTTTTATTATACAATCCATTCTTATTTTTTTATTATAGAAGCCATTCTTACTTCGCTGTCCGCGAACTTGACATTGCTGTCTGTGCTCTTGACATTGCTCTTGTAAATCATGCATTGCGCGCGCAACCTACAGATTATTCACTAATCTGTAGGTACAGATTAGTGAATAATCTGTAGGTTGCGCTGTTTTCCAGAATTAACTGTAGGCTTTTAGCCAATGAGAAGACAGATAGTGACTACAATGTATAATAATAAACGTAAACTGCTAAAAAAAGACTTATTTATACCTGCCCAGTTGAATGATCCCAGTCTTCCATTACACTTGGGGCAAGAAAGCTTAAAACAACCACAAAAATAAACAAACAAAAAATAAGCAAGAAGTTGCTAAGTACAAGTTAAATGTACAAAAAAAGCTGGCCCTGGGCCAGAAAACTACAATGTAACAGTGGAACCTCGATATAATGAAGGGCCAAGGAACTGTCATATCAAGGTTCTTTTCCATATATTTTACTATTACTGGGGTAAAGAAAATTGTGCATTACACCGAGGACTTCATTATATCAAGGTTCCACTGTATCATTTTTGCTAATGAGAACCAGCCCTATAGTGAGAAAAATTCCCTGGTTCAAACATGTGTAATACTTAAAATTAAACTTCCCTTAATCGCAAGTTCAGTTGTTCATTGATCCTTATTTCACAGTGGCTTGTATGGTAGAAGCTTTAAGATGAAGAGCCAGCAGAGGACCTTAAAGCTAAAACAGAGCTCAAAAGAAACCTTTCCAGAATTTATATTGCTTATGAATGAACAATACTCCATTCCCTCTTTTCACCATAAATACTTATACTTGACAGTGAATAATATTTGTTTCCCTCTATGTGGGACATTTTATTAGTACATAAGTTACCTTTCCCTCAATTGTTCCCTCAAGTAAAGGAAGCATCCAGCTCACAGGTTCAATAAACAAAGATGTACACTGGGTGTCAGTACTGTTGGTCACTGCAGGAGAATCTTGTTTATGTCGCCTAAATGATAACTGACCACTACCGAGTTCATGTGTAATAACAGAGCCACCAGTAAACAATGCCAGTCTGTAAGTGGATATAAAAAAGAATGTGATTGACCTTTTATTAGTGACTTTTGTTTAAGATTTGAACTCATAACATTGCATTTTAAGAGAGAATTTTTTCAATATAACTATATTCATCTGAAGTGAACTGACTGTCAGTAAATGTTGTTATTAGTAATCATTGCATATAAAATTTGTTTTGTTTTCCTTTCTTTCTATAGTGTACCTCTCTCAACTAGATTAACACTCGCCTGAGGATGGTTTTACCATCTTGCTTGTAAATTTTGAATCACAATTCCTAGGTAAAACCTAAAGTTGTTGTTGTACAGTCACTCATGAGTGTAAAGAACTCAAAACAGTTGACCACGTCGTCTCATCTTACAGAGTGTGCAAGTGCCACTTAAATGTTGACTGCTGAGAAGCTGTAAATGGCTTGGAATAGAATTCAGTGTATGGTTATAAAGCCTCAAAAAGTTGGTTTTCATTGAGATTTTCATATACATGTATTCAATATTTCATCACCATCCTTTGATGGATTTATAACCAACTAACTCAATGAGCTGTTCCCAGGTGGCTTGTTATGTGTGTAGCTCAATAACGGTAGATAATTTCACCAGTATCGTAGAGGTCAAGGGTTCTAATACGGTACAAGCCTGAATTTTTTCAGGCTTTCTTTTCAATAGGCCCTTCTATTTGAGAGGAAAATAGCTTTGTAGCCTGTGGAAAGAAAACAACATGGTCTTTCTTTTATTACAAAATGCATTTAACTATAGGGAGCTGTACCTGCATTTTCTACATTTATAATTTTTGTTATTTGAAGAACTACTGTCTTTGAGTTCTTCAATCAATGAAGACAGGAGATCTTTTGTAGCATACTGTTGATCTAAAAACAGATTAAAAACAGAGTAATATTTAAGTACCTTACTATAATAAAAAGTAAGTTTAGTGAGTTTATGTACCTACAGTTGTCAGGTCTGAAGGTTTTTGTTGGTATTAAACAACAATTACGTCTGTTGAGATTATTTAGTACTAAATAATAATGCAATAATTACATTAGAGAAGGTCCAACTCTCTCAAAAGCTAGGCAAGGCTGTGCTGTAAGAAAAATTCAAGGAAGCCTAGTGCTTTTTAGTCTTCTAAGAACAAAAGTTAGTTGGTGGGGGCCACTAGGCACTGCAAGAGCACATCCTTCATAGGGCTTCCTTATGTCTCCCTTACTGACTGTTCATACATGTACAAGTAAGTTCTGAGGCCCCCCTTCCCCATTGGGTTTAATTTGCAGGTGAACATTTAGTCACACACATCAGCATACCTGAAAAAATTAAACCCTCTTACCCCCTCAAACTAAAAAATAATAATAATAATAAAATAAAATATAGTTTATCACTTAATTTTATCCTGCACGGGAAATTATCAAAGTGCAAAGCACAGTGCTCACAAACCTGAAAAATGCGGCGGTGAAACCTTTAATAGATCGAATGAGATTGAATTCTAGTACTAAGCTGAGAGGAACTCACTACATGTTTTACGGCATATAAAAGGTAAATGAACATCAACCCACTCTGTATCTGATTGACCAAGAGTTGCAGTCTGTATTGTTTATACACAGGACTTGTTTTGTCCACTGTATTTCCCATGGCTTCATACAGCTGAAGCTGCTCAATAAATCCATCAGATTGGTGTTTTGTTTGAAAGGCGCTTATTCCATGATTCATCAACCCTGTTCTTGTGAATCTGAAAAGCAGGTGTCACCCACTTTCCACAGCTGCACTGCATACCTGCACCATGACATAATAAGATACAATAAAATGTAAATACAAATGAAATAAGATAATATTATCACAAGTTTCCTCCATTTCCTGGTTTGCAAGAGCAATGTACAAGAACTGTACCCTCCGGTAGGAGACTCAACCTTGTACTACCCACATTCACTTTCCTAGTATCTCTAACAATATTAAATGAGACGTTTACTCTTACATGTAGTCTGTGACTTCAGTGAGAAACAGCATAACTTATCAATGAGACAGGAAACCAAAATGATAAACATGAACAACAAAAAATAATTTATGCTATTTTCTTAAACCGTAATCTAAGATAAGCGTTTTATAACGAAACTGCCCCTTCCCACCCCTCCTAGTGACATGTTTGTTCATTTTGTACCTTGATGCCATGGTGAACCATGGAGTACCATGCCATAGCGAAGCATGGATAGCGTGATCACTAAACAAAGTTCAAGAAATCTCCAGATGAATTTATATATACACTTGCAAATTATAAACAATTATTGGATGAGGTTTTTGTGATATCCGGAATAATCAAGGTCGAGGTAAGTGTTATCAGCCAAAGCCGAAGGCTAACCGTTTTATTATACAATCCATTCTTATTTTTTTATTATAGAAGCCATTCTTACTTCGCTGTCCGCGAACTTGACATTGCTGTCTGTGCTCTTGACATTGCTCTTGTAAATCATGCATTGCGCGCGCAACCTACAGATTATTCACTAATCTGTAGGTACAGATTAGTGAATAATCTGTAGGTTGCGCTGTTTTCCAGAATTAACTGTAGGCTTTTAGCCAATGAGAAGACAGATAGTGACTACAATGTATAATAATAAACGTAAACTGCTAAAAAAAGACTTATTTATACCTGCCCAGTTGAATGATCCCAGTCTTCCATTACACTTGGGGCAAGAAAGCTTAAAACAACCACAAAAATAAACAAACAAAAAATAAGCAAGAAGTTGCTAAGTACAAGTTAAATGTACAAAAAAAGCTGGCCCTGGGCCAGAAAACTACAATGTAACAGTGGAACCTCGATATAATGAAGGGCCAAGGAACTGTCATATCAAGGTTCTTTTCCATATATTTTACTATTACTGGGGTAAAGAAAATTGTGCATTACACCGAGGACTTCATTATATCAAGGTTCCACTGTATCATTTTTGCTAATGAGAACCAGCCCTATAGTGAGAAAAATTCCCTGGTTCAAACATGTGTAATACTTAAAATTAAACTTCCCTTAATCGCAAGTTCAGTTGTTCATTGATCCTTATTTCACAGTGGCTTGTATGGTAGAAGCTTTAAGATGAAGAGCCAGCAGAGGACCTTAAAGCTAAAACAGAGCTCAAAAGAAACCTTTCCAGAATTTATATTGCTTATGAATGAACAATACTCCATTCCCTCTTTTCACCATAAATACTTATACTTGACAGTGAATAATATTTGTTTCCCTCTATGTGGGACATTTTATTAGTACATAAGTTACCTTTCCCTCAATTGTTCCCTCAAGTAAAGGAAGCATCCAGCTCACAGGTTCAATAAACAAAGATGTACACTGGGTGTCAGTACTGTTGGTCACTGCAGGAGAATCTTGTTTATGTCGCCTAAATGATAACTGACCACTACCGAGTTCATGTGTAATAACAGAGCCACCAGTAAACAATGCCAGTCTGTAAGTGGATATAAAAAAGAATGTGATTGACCTTTTATTAGTGACTTTTGTTTAAGATTTGAACTCATAACATTGCATTTTAAGAGAGAATTTTTTCAATATAACTATATTCATCTGAAGTGAACTGACTGTCAGTAAATGTTGTTATTAGTAATCATTGCATATAAAATTTGTTTTGTTTTCCTTTCTTTCTATAGTGTACCTCTCTCAACTAGATTAACACTCGCCTGAGGATGGTTTTACCATCTTGCTTGTAAATTTTGAATCACAATTCCTAGGTAAAACCTAAAGTTGTTGTTGTACAGTCACTCATGAGTGTAAAGAACTCAAAACAGTTGACCACGTCGTCTCATCTTACAGAGTGTGCAAGTGCCACTTAAATGTTGACTGCTGAGAAGCTGTAAATGGCTTGGAATAGAATTCAGTGTATGGTTATAAAGCCTCAAAAAGTTGGTTTTCATTGAGATTTTCATATACATGTATTCAATATTTCATCACCATCCTTTGATGGATTTATAACCAACTAACTCAATGAGCTGTTCCCAGGTGGCTTGTTATGTGTGTAGCTCAATAACGGTAGATAATTTCACCAGTATCGTAGAGGTCAAGGGTTCTAATACGGTACAAGCCTGAATTTTTTCAGGCTTTCTTTTCAATAGGCCCTTCTATTTGAGAGGAAAATAGCTTTGTAGCCTGTGGAAAGAAAACAACATGGTCTTTCTTTTATTACAAAATGCATTTAACTATAGGGAGCTGTACCTGCATTTTCTACATTTATAATTTTTGTTATTTGAAGAACTACTGTCTTTGAGTTCTTCAATCAATGAAGACAGGAGATCTTTTGTAGCATACTGTTGATCTAAAAACAGATTAAAAACAGAGAAATATTTAAGTACCTTACTATAATAAAAAGTAAGTTTAGTGAGTTTATGTACCTACAGTTGTCAGGTCTGAAGGTTTTTGTTGGTATTAAACAACAATTACGTCTGTTGAGATTATTTAGTACTAAATAATAATGCAATAATTACATTAGAGAAGGTCCAACTCTCTCAAAAGCTAGGCAAGGCTGTGCTGTAAGAAAAATTCAAGGAAGCCTAGTGCTTTTTAGTCTTCTAAGAACAAAAGTTAGTTGGTGGGGGCCACTAGGCACTGCAAGAGCACATCCTTCATAGGGCTTCCTTATGTCTCCCTTACTGACTGTTCATACATGTACAAGTAAGTTCTGAGGCCCCCCTTCCCCATTGGGTTTAATTTGCAGGTGAACATTTAGTCACACACATCAGCATACCTGAAAAAATTAAACCCTCTTACCCCCTCAAACTAAAAAATAATAATAATAATAAAATAAAATATAGTTTATCACTTAATTTTATCCTGCACGGGAAATTATCAAAGTGCAAAGCACAGTGCTCACAAACCTGAAAAATGCGGCGGTGAAACCTTTAATAGATCGAATGAGATTGAATTCTAGTACTAAGCTGAGAGGAACTCACTAGATGTTTTATGGCATATAAAAGGTAAATGAACATCAACCCACTCTGTATCTGATTGACCAAGAGTTGCAGTCTGTATTGTTTATACACAGGACTTGTTTTGTCCACTGTATTTCCCATGGCTTCATACAGCTGAAGCTGCTCAATAAATCCGGTATTGGGACTAAATCAAAGAGGCAACAAACAAGAAGATGTAAGTACACAATATGTTTAAAATGCTGTCAAATACAACAAGTGTGGGTAATGAAATTGTTAGGAATATTATTGCTGTGTGCATGCGTTGTGTGTCTGTCCCTGTATTTAATTGAATAAAAGGATTGCAAACCATTCTGTTGTTGTTCTTTGCTGCTGTTCGGTCCTTTTCATGTTGATGGATTAAATTTTGTGACGGTGACCTAAAAGCCTTTTTCCCTTCCTAATAATAGGATTCACTACTGGTATGGGCAATGGAAATTTTTTTCTTGTGAGAATCCCAGCACACAAGATAATAATAATTATTAAAAGGCAGGCCTAAAAATAACACCAAAATATAAATTCTAACACAAAAAAAAAGGCTCTGGATTACGCCGTACATGTCCACCCCCACACACTTATGAACCCCCATGCATGTAATTAGACCCATTAATTTTTTATGTACCAGGTATCACATCAACTTTAATTTAGAGTTTTTAATTCATCATCAGCTTATTTCAAACCATTTAGGATGGTCAAAAGACAATCTGGAAGGATAAAAAAATGAAGAATGAAACTCTTACTTGGCTTTGGGGTAAATTTTCTTTAAAAAATCCAATGCCTCATTTAATGACATCTGATCTGTCTTCATAAGATATGCCAAGACAATAGCTGTGCTTCGAGACACACCTGAAAGGCTGTAAATGAAAATGAAAAATTGACACAAGAAAAAAAAGGTCTAGTATTTAGAATGCAGTGATTATTTAATATAAAGGCAGAACAAAAAATATGAATTTAAAATTGTTTTACCAAGGCAGTGCTCCAAGGAAATTGAAGGGGGTTCAATGATGTGAAACTGTAAAATCTAGGGTACCAAGCATATGATTTGTAGGAAAATACTAAGATTTTCTAGTTGCCTAAGAGAAGGTTTTAGACACCTCTCCCCTTGCATGCCCTGTTCTTGGCTTTCTTGCACCCACATTTCTTGCAAGTATAGTATAGGAATTGTTCAATTTGCCACACAACAGACCTGTTATGTTATGTAATCAGATCTCTTAAAAATTCCTGATAACTTATTGATATTTTTTTAACCAAACAAGAAGGCCCACCAGGAAGACATCAAGTTCAGAAAACCAAACATGTCATATTCGTTGCCAATGCAATACAATGGCAGTATAAGAAGTTTGTCTACAGACCTACAATCGGCGACAAAATGAGTTGAGACACTTCGCCCAAAACTGGGCTTTTTTACGTTTTATTAACTTCAAAAGGAGGAAATATAGCTTTCCTCCCCCATGCCCTCCGTGCAATGTTGTGCCCTTGTTCTAGCTGCCTATAGAAAACAACAAACACCCCAACTTTGAATGGAGGGGACAGGGGAGGGGTGCAGATTCTTTTGTTTTTCAAAATTACCCTATTTAAGAACAATGTCTCAACAATTTTGTCGCCGATTGTAGCTACAAAATCACTTTCCCCTCTATTTCTCATTGACCTGTTTCACTCAGACCTGGCTATCCAATTCTCTTTTCCAGAGATGTGATTGTTATGGTCAGCATCATAGATCAAGAGCTCTGGTTGGGACCAGGATGAGCTGCAAGCACAGTAGTCTCCACGGTATCCATTATTAACTCATACTTCTGAGCCTGCGCACAATTTGCAGACTTCTCAGTTTGGGCCCAGGCAGAGCTCTCGATCTGTTGTGCTAGCTAGCCAAAAGGATCGCAGCTCTGGGGACCAGAATGATACTACCCATCTCTTGAGGCCATTTGTGGTAACTCATATGGCACTGGGCTCAAGATCCAGGTGAGTCGCTGAGTATCCCCACCCCCCAGGGTCCAAGATTGTATACCAGAGTTTAGAGTGCACGTGTCTTGTCCCTTGTCCCAGCGGTCCCAGCATTAGGCAGGTACAAAAGTCGGACCAGATCAACTCGGACCGCCAGTCCGGGTCGGATCAACTCGGATCGACTCGGACCAACTCGGATCGAATAAAAAAACAAAAATAAAATAAAATTGGACTCGGATCAACTCGGAGAAATCAAAAAAATTAAATTAAATCAGCAAAACTGAAAGTTTAACCCATTTGGAGGGTAAAAAAGGCCAGATCATCCTTTTTTTTCTCCGTGGCTTTAAGGCCCCATTTTGTTTTACTAGTGCCAGTTCCTCTTGGATCATGTTATAAACTCGTGGTTGTGGTTGAGTTACACGACGCTCTCTTCTTCACAGATATGGATGACCTCGAGGAAGGTAAAATCCCAACCATCTTTCTCAATGAAAAGCATCAAAAGCCTGGTCTGCTGACTGAATTTAGATAAATACCGAAGAGTGTTTGTTTGTTCCTGTTTGTTTTTTTTCTGCAGGACTTCTGAAACTTAATTTTAATGATACACTAGTGAGCAGCACACATACATTTCCAGTGAACATTTTCAACTTGGAAGGAGGAGAAATCATGCTCGCCCGGGACAAAGGAAATTTCCATGTCCCGAGCAAGAATCAAACTCGCGACCCCCCGGTTCAGTGGTTGGAACGTCCGATAAGCATGTAGTATTCGGAGGGTCGTGAGTTCAATTCTCGCCTGGGGTACGAAAATTTTCTTTGTCCCGGGCGAGCATGATTTCTCCTCCTTCCAAGCTGAAAATGTTCACTGGAAGTGTATGTGTGCTGCTCACTAGTATATCATTAAAATTAATAAAAATAAAAATTAAATTAATTTACGCAGCCATGAGTTCGTGAGAAAAAAACAAAATGGCGGGTGAAAGTTAAGTGATACCGACTGAGTTTATTTTTCCTTTTATAATCCGAGTTGTTGTTGTTTTTTATGATCCGAGTTGATACGAGTCCAATTTTATTTTTTTTTTATTTTTTTATTCGATCCGGGTTGGTCCGAGTCGATCCGAGTTGATCCGACCCGGACTGGCGGTCCGAGTTGATCCGGTCCGACTTTTGTACCTGCCTCCCAGCATTTCTGATTTGACTCCAGTCCAACACATTAACTTCTGAACTGCTAAACTTACCAGTGTACCAGCACAATCTCTTCGTTTTCTAATCCACTGGAGATAAACTCCGAGCAATCGTCAAAGAAACTTAAGAGATCTGCCTCCGGTTCGTCCACACATGGCACATGTTTTGTCAAGACTCCATCTTTTAGTGCTATTTCAAGAGACTCACTGTCCACAGTAAGGATCCTTAGTTTATCTCCTTGTCTGGAATTAGCTAAATTAATTGCATCTTTCCTGGTACCTACGAAAAGCCCTTCTTTTATCCGTGACATGTCCCAATCCAAATTCACATTTCCGCGCGGTTGTCGGAGAAGTCGATAACTCTTCGGATATTTTTGGAAATTGAAACACAGCGGCCTCGTTGAGAGACCCTGGAAACGAGAGCGAAAATATGGCTGGCTTTTACTTTACTGTGAGAGCCGACGTATTTTGACGTATTTTATGCCCGAAAGCTTGAAAAGAGGGCAAACTTATAAATGGAAATGAGGACTTACTACAGAAATGGATCGGTTATTGGAAAATTTCGAGTTGAATAAGCTATCGGGAAGTAAGCTAAAACGTTATAAAAACCCCATGGCTTGTTTTGCTGCTTCATTCGACAACTTGTCCCTGGAAATCTTGGTAAAGATTATGTCGTCTTTGTCACTGAGAGACATTCTAGTCCTTGAAACAATATCTAAGAAACTTTCAAACGCGGTAGTAATCCATTTAAGGACAAGAAAATCTGTAGATTTTACGGAGGGAAAATGGTATGGAGAAATGTCCCCTCTCATAACAGATGGAATTTTTTCACGTCTGTTGAAGCGATGCCCAGAGGTGAACACTGTACTTGGAATTCATCCAACATCAATAACGAAACGTCAGCAAAGGCATTCAAATACGTTAAGCGTGGATGGCATCACATCAGCGCTAACTTTTTGTGCTAAACTGAAATCAATCGGTACGTCCAATATACAAGTATTGGACGCCATGTTGGCAATTAATCCAAATTTAGAAATTGCCGGTGGCTTCCGGAATCGAGGAGGAGACTTTCCAATTTCTCCACTAAATCGTTTGTCAATTCCAAGGGAAGTCAAGCTGTCGCAGCTAGTCTTAACAGGTGTAACCGTGCCGTCATTGCCATCAATGGAATCTTTAACTTTTCTTCAACTGCGCTGGGTTAAGTTTACAGATCCTGATCCCTTTAAAGATTTTTCCTGTCCTAAGTTGGAACATTTCATCATGAAAAACTGCATGGGTGACCTTGACGCTGGGTCGTTCGGTCCACTGACTTGTATTCCTTTGTTCAATGCACTGGGGAGGGCGGCACACTTGGAACGTCTTGAACTTGTACGTGTTCCATTTCCAGGTGGAATTTTTCGCCATGTCGTTGAGGACAATTGGCGACTGGGCAGTTTTCGATATCTCACTAGAGTGTCTCTTGCATCATGTTATGATGCTCTGGAAGTTGATCTAGGATACTTAGTTCTTGTATCAGCTTTCAGGTTGGAAGAACTAATCATTCAGCCTTCTTTGACCAAGGATGCAGTGTTCTCGGCATTGCTCATGGCTCATGCTGAGTATCCAAGATTTGAGTGTCTTCATTTGGGATATATTGATGATTTTCCAGAGAAAGGACGATATACAGAGGAAGAGCTTCTTGAGTATGGTTTATCATTCGAAAGGGAACAGTCACCCACCCTCTCTGATAGAGGGATGAAATTGGCATTGCAAGTGTTTCCTCATGTGCGCTATTTAGCTGTCTGCAATTGCCCAAATCTGAGAAATGCTTCATTGTGGTGTACTCCAAATTTAACTTGCCTGGCATTACGTGATTTAACCCTGTCTAAGTGCAAAAACTTGTCATTGGAACATGCTTCCCAATTTATTCAACTACTACCGGCTATTGAATACCTCCATATTGAGCACATGTTTAAGAAATGCAATGAAATTGAAGAAGAGGGTGCTGATAAAGAGAAGAACCTTATCATAACTTCTCAAGTGGTAAAAAGCATCTCCTTGCACAAATGTGGAGTCATGAAGCTTTCAGTGGTTAATTGCCCAAGTCTTTGTACTCTCTCTTGCACTCATTGCAAGAACCTGTCACAAGTACAGTTTCAAGACTGCTTGTTGAATCGTTTAAGTTTTTCTTGGTGTCCTGTGTTAAGCATGAAAAGTGTTCTGGATGAAGTGTACAGTTTGCCTGCAAACACAAGTCGAATTATCTCACTTCGCCCTACAGAGCAGTTTGACCCAGTGGAATGCGAACAGAAATTGTTTTCATCAAATCTTGATTATCATTGTTGCATTGTACATGATCACAGAAACTCTGTAGGTATAGTCACCAAGCTGTCTATTTATAGCTGGGTTGACACTGTCACTGCTATAAACAGTGAGCTTATTGAAAAGTGCGGATTCAAAGAAGCCAACAGCATGACTGTAAGATCTGTTAGTTTTCCCTGGAATAGAGACATCTACCAAATCTGTAGAGAATTCTCCAGTGGACCAGTTCAGATAATGACTGATGTTCCTTGGTTTCAAAAGCTCTCAACCACTGAGGAGACTTCATTTGTACCACAGTACTCATCCAAGAATGAACAGCTTCCAAGGTTGAAGAATAATCTTCCAATGCAAGTTTGCCTTGAGGTATTAAAGGATGAAATTTCTGAGGGTCTTTTATTGGAGAAGAGACTTCACAGACATATTTTAGTGCTTTATTTAAACTCTTGTGATGTGAAACATATGTATGACCAAGATTTATCTGTCATTCAACCCTTAAATCCCTAAAATGTACCTATTTAATGTACAGTTTTCTTTGCAATATGCCGTTATCATTTCTCACGGTTGACATGAGGAAAATCTGAACAAGACATACTTTCTTTATTCTTGTAACCGTTATGTTGAATTTTGCACTGAGAGATGTAAAGAGATTTAAGAGAGAAAAATTCTGCAATGTTCATCTCATTTGGACATTTTAGGGTCATACCTATCTACTTGTTAAGCCAAAGGGAGTCAGGGTTCAAAATTACAACTTTTAGCCTGAATCTGTAGGTTTTCTTTGTCAAGGTTTCTTTTTTCCAGGCTGTCAATAATGAATACAAGCACGTCACATCAATAGTCAACAATGTGATTTATTACAGCAGTTAAAGGGAACGACATGCTTTTGTGCAAAATAAATCTTGTTTACACGTGCAAAAACATAAAGGTGGTAATGCCACAGTTTGTATAGACAAACGTGCAAGTTTCACATTTGAACAAACGTGTAAAAGAATTAGTAAAGCGTAGTTTACGGTGAACAAGAATTCTTCTTTTCAAGTTTTGCAGCATGCTTTAAATTGCCAAACCTTTTTTACTCTTTCTACTCCTTTTAAAGCCTGTTCTTTGCTACTTTATTGTTTGATATGAAATGTTTACTGCAAATCTTACAGTGACTTTAATTTCAGTTACATTTCTATTTCTTTGGTAAAACATAGCCCGCAAGTGTGGTCAAAGTGAGAGCTATTTTGAACCCTTGGGAGTAGCCCCTCCCACCAGGGGGTTGGCTCAAAGATTATACAAGTACTTGCATTTAATAGCTGTAGATTTCTGACTTACAAGTTAGGTGTTATCTCTGAACAACTTACTTTGATGATCATAGCCTGTAGTTTCCAAAGTTGCTGCTGCGTTAAGACAGCATTTGTCCTGGAGCAGCCACCATAGCTCCTGCCAATGCCTAAAGCTTGAAATCAGTGTTGTCCATGTGAGTGTGTAGGGCTGTCAACCACCCACGTCATCAAATATTGAGAATTGATAGAGAAAAAATGATAGATGACTTCATATCATACGACAAATGACGTCATCTGTGCCAGAAATGCTTGTTGATTCCGATCGACGTATATAGCACATAAACAGTTCATATTTAGCCACATTATTGCTTAAATTACAGTGGCATACCAGAATTTATGGGGAAACGTTCCCGCAATAGCTTAAACAACGCAAAGTATTTGAAATTTTATGGTCAGAAAGTCGAGTGTACAAGAAATAGCAATTTTGACGATAATCCGGGAGATATTAGACTCTAATCTGGAGACCGGGAGATACGGTCTAAAATCTGGAGTCTCCCGGATTATCTGAGAGAGTTGACAACACTGGTGTGTAGAGCTTATCCTCAAACACTTGGCTGCATAGATGACGGATAGAACGGGGCTCAGACGTGCACTCTGAGAGAGATTTGTCGATGAAGACTTGCTGACCTCTGTTGATCTGGTACCGTCTGGGGTCCTCCATGAGAAGAGAGGAGGAGGAGAACTGGTTCATTTCCGGAACAGCGGCTAGTAATTGAGCCTACCATAGCCTCCTACGCAGACACTCTTTTGGCTTGTCACGCAATCTTCCATAAGAATGTCTGCATGGGGGGCTAAAAAACATGAAAAAAAAAAGTCAGCATAATGCGTGACAGGTAAGCCCCTTAGCCACCCTGTCGAGTGATAAAATGATCATGTTCGTTATGATAGGCAAAAACATGTCAATGTGTCAATCCATCACTAGGGATGTCAGCATGGGGTCCAAAGTGCAACTTTTCTTTGCACTGCTGCTGATAAGGGGCCAATCATTAATTACTTCTGAGGGGCTGGGGATCGGTGGTAGTGTGATGTTGAAAAAAATATCCCGCGAGTGCATATTGATAGAAAAAAAACTTGCACAAGGGAAAAAATGTACAGTAGCCTGGAAAACGTCTGGTAAGATGCTCCATGATTTGACATCGTGAACATTCGGACATGAAGTTAACTTCAGTAACTTTAAAAAACATATATTTCATATAGTTGAACCTCCGCTAACGACCACCTTTTTCGTCCCGGCGGACAAAAAATCTATACATTGACTCTTATTTAAGACCTCTCTACAATGGTCACCTCACCTCTTTACAATGCCCAGTTTCTTCAGTCCTTAAGGTGGCTGTTGTAGAGACCTTAGAGGTTCAACTGTGCCTGACCCCTGTGTGAAGGGTTCCCCATGCATCTTACTGCTTAATAATATTCAGTGTTATTCAGTATGCTGAAAAGAACACTTAGATAAAATTAAAATTACACAAAATATACACATTTCAAAACCTGTTAAGGAATCTCTAGCCTGCGAAAAAAGGTGTTTCTCCTCGCTCTTCGCCGCTGAGGACGTTTCGCGTTTCCTCCGCGCGAAACGTTCCTAGCGGCGAAGAGTTGGGAGAAATGGCTGTTTTTGCAGTATAAGGAATCTCAAAGGGCGGGAAAGTCTCAAGAAGCCACAGGGGCTTATTGGTGAGACTTCGACGTAGATTTAGTTATTATCTAGTTAATGTTGGAGGGTGAGAAGAAATGCACATACTTCAAGAAAAAAAATTCATGGAAAGTGAAGTATTAAGGGGTTGAAGAAAAAATATTATAGGTTGTAACCAATTGTTGTATGATATAATCAGTTCTCTGTAGCTTTTATTCTTCACTCCATTAAAGCATATTTCTTCACATGTTCATATTTTAGAATTCTGTACTCTGGTCTACACTTAAAGGATTCATCGACATCAATTCGCGTAAAAATTCGATGATCTAAACCTCAATTCACACACTTGATCAGCTCCACGACTCCGAACGACTACACAGTACAGTTCAAAGACTCTTGCAAAAAGCTCGGTAGTTTTCAGATCACGTGACTAGTTTCCCCCCCGACGATGACGCAATAATTTCTAGCACAGATGGTTTGCAAGTGATGTCACAGGGGCCATGTTGGGGGTGTTTAAGTTTAACAACAAAAGCATTTCTCTCCTCTGGGAATTAAACCATGTTTTCATGTAAATTCTTCGAGAAAAAATATTATATTGTATTGACCACTACTAACCTGGCCGCCTTGTCACGTGGCTGCAAGCCAAGAATTTATCCCCCTACCCCTGCCGCCTGCCTAGTACCGCACTTCAGTCCCCTCCTCAGGCTTTCTCAAGGCTCAGTGGGGAACACGCGAAAACTGGAGACAAGCAAGAAGTGCGAGATGGGGATGTGGAAACGAGCGGGGAGTCCGAAAAAGCCTCGCGTGCCCTTCGCGTTTCTCTCGCGCCTAAAACTCCCTTTCCTTTCCCCTTCTAACGCCTGCCACGCATTATTTGCCACGCCGGCTAAGCAATATGGGAAGGAGGCTGCTCTCGCAGGCTATGAATGACGGGATAGGGAAAATTCCCTTGGTTTTTCGCTTGTTCTGTCTTACTCTTCAGATTGGAGGTAGCCCTATTTGAACGACGATTTGAACACGTCTAGTTTCTTCGCCGTCTTCGTATACTCTGTGCATGATTACAGCCAGCAAATATGCCCGGGTACTGTTTGGCCGCCTCAGACAAGAAAAGGATCGATCCTAAGTATCTGTGCAACTCCTGTGGTTTGCTCTTGCGGGAAGCAATGCAAACGGCTTGTGAACATTTCTACTGCAGATCATGTCTTGGAAATCTATTCATGTAAGTATGAAGTTAAGCGTATATGTTGTACAAGGGTTAAAAGCTTTATTTGAGCCTACATCTTTCATTAGATTGCTAGATTGAGGGTTTCGAAGACCGTGCGCCGTGCACATATGGTGCATAAATTTAGAAAATGTCGCATTATAAAACTGCGGACCGAGCCCAGTGTGCGCCCAGATCGTGTTATAGTTAATAACTATGGCGTTATATCCCCGCCAAAATTCAACCTTTTGTTTGCAACATTGTTGCTTTGAATTAATGCTCGTTTTTACAATCCAATATTCAACGTCTATAATTCAACATTGCGCATTCACGAATCAACATCCATATTTCAAATTCAGTGTGCTTCGTTTACATGCGACATTCGTCTGTGTGTGTGCGATATGCTTGCATCGCAATCCAACATTCTTGTTTTCCGTATTCACACACCAACATCCATATTTTAAATTCACCTTCCGTTCGTTTAAGTGCGACATTCATGCCTTTCATTGCTATGTTGATGTTCGGTGTGTGTGTTGCGGTGCAGAGTGCGATATGCTTGCAGCACAATGCAATATTCTTGTTGGACATTGAACTTCACGCTTGAGTGAGCTGACCTTCAGATGGTACGCCGCTGTACAAAACATGTGGGCTCAAAAGTGGTCGGGGTTTGCATGTCAAGATGGCGGCGTTCAGAAGAGCGTACGACATCATCCAGCAGACGATTGAAAGTCTAGACAATCCAGCTATTACCTCGTTCGAAATTGATGGAATATCGCTAAGGCTAGACTATCTAACTCGTACACTAGTGAACCTTGATAGTAACTGTGCACCAACAGATGGAATTGTTCAACTTTTGGGGGAGACCAGCAGTTATCTGCGTGTTATGGATGTACAGTCGACTGCTTGTGCCATTGAGTTTGCCCCAAAAATATTTTCTGGAGGTCGTGGACGTCCATCGTTCGAAATCAAAGAGGAACAGTTGTCTTTTCTTATCGACCAGGGCTTCCAGGTCCCCGTTATTGCCAAGTTGTTTAGGGTATCGCCACGAACGATTGAAAGAAGAATGGCAAATTACGGCCTGTCGATTTCAGGTAGACTATTTTAAAACCACTTTATACTTTTGTTTTTATTTCCAGTATGTGCATGAATGCTCATTAAATATCAGTTTATCAGTTATTAATAAGATTACATGACATGGTTCAAATTTGGTTTTGTTTCAATTTTTATTTTCCTTTGTTTTGAAGTGGATACTTCCTGGCCACGGATATAGTTTACTCGCTCTACAAATACAGTCTAATAACGGATGTTTTAGATAAACAATTAAGAATAAAAAATAGCGATAATAGTTTAGAATGACGTTTAGATGACTCACTCATCATTTTCAAATTCATATAACTAAAGTCAGGTTCTTGTAAGTTCATTATATAATAAATTGTATGTGAAAGTCTTGTTGCATGTGATTAAAAAGAAATATAATGTGGAGTGTACAATCAAGGTTATGTTTAGTCTTATTAAAAATATAAAAGGTGAAAAGCCGATGTCCGGCTTCACGACGAACTTAGACCTGGCGTATAAAGTGAACCCTAACACAAAAGCTCAAAGTCCCTACAAAATGAACCGTGCTAAAAAAAACAAAAATACAACCCACTTCTATTTGCCAGCGTTAACAACTGCTCTGCAACGCGACGAAGTGTGGCCTTTGCAGACGTGTTCGCAGAGTTCACATTATCCGCCATCACTGCCTCGCCTGGAATAGACTGAGGAAGCACGTGCAACTATTTTGAGCCCACATGTTTTGTACAGCGGCGTACCATCTGAAGGTCAGCTCACTCAAGCGTGAAGTTCAATGTCCAACAAGAATATTGCATTGTGCTGCAAGCATATCGCACTCTGCACCGCAACACACACACCGAACATCAACATAGCAATGAAAGGCATGAATGTCGCACTTAAACGAACGGAAGGTGAATTTAAAATATGGATGTTGGTGTGTGAATACGGAAAACAAGAATGTTGGATTGCGATGCAAGCATATCGCACACACACAGACGAATGTCGCATGTAAACGAAGCACACTGAATTTGAAATATGGATGTTGATTCGTGAATGCGCAATGTTGAATTATAGACGTTGAATATTGGATTGTAAAAACGAGCATTAATTCAAAGCAACAATGTTGCAAACAAAAGGTTGAATTTTGGCGGGGATATAACGCCATAAATAACAGGCCGTCTGATAGGGTGCGATAAAAAATCAGAAATTGTGTGATATTTCAAAGGAGAAAAACCACTTTCATGTTGTTCAGCAGGCAATTTGAATGTAAAGGAATAATAAAACATTTATTTTAAAACAAAATAGTCAAATTTGTTCGATTATTTTGACCCGGAAAAGAAAAAGGACACTTACGTAATATTACATGACGCCGTTACACCGCTGACCACACTGCTTGTCTCTGAAGTCAAAATGGCTGCGATCGAAGGTTTCAGATGTCTTGCAAGCCTTTCTTTAGTGGTAAATCACCTTAAATAACATTAAGATTGGGAAAATGTTTAATTAAAGTTAGAATTTATTGTTTACTTTACTTGAATTCAGCATTTTTTTGAGGAATAATGCGATTTTCTTCAAATTGTGCGATCAGATACAATTTGAGGTCAATTGTGCAAAATCGCACCATCGCGTAATATCAGATGGCCAGTAATAAGCACGCCATTTGTATGTTAATAGTAAAAACATGAATTGATAGATATGCAAGAACTAATGAAGCCTGCGAACTGCAAACGCATTTCCGGTCGTCGCTTCTCTCCCTCCGAAAAATGGCGTCTGTGAACCCGAGCGGCAAAACGATTGTCCATGACATAAACCTTTTTAGCCAATCACGGTTTAGCTCTTATTAAGGAACTAAATTGCAAGACTTCTCGCAAGATCGTGCGCAGTGGATATGATTGAAGGGACGACGTAACTTGTGTATAGCCGCCCTTTTTCCTCAGAACGACGTATTTACGAAAGTTAATTTGCCAGGACTGTGGGACTGATTGACGAAATAAGCATCAAGAGGATTCATATTGAAGAAAAGATTAGAGAACATTTTTTATCTATTTGCCTATGGAGTCAATGATTTATCACACCTAGTTGTTAATTTTGATCATATTTGAAATAATAAATGTCCTAATGATAGTAGACGCATCATGCCGTTTGTTGCTTCTGTTCCTTTCTGGTTCCTCACAGGAAAGTATGCTTTAGAGAACTCTTCAATAATTTGCCTTGTGACATTTTTAGGATATATCCTTTATCTTTGAAAGCTAGGATGTGTGGTAATTGATTTCCCATGCATGGCTGCTTCTTGGTTCAGACAGAACTTTGATCAGATTGAAAGCATTTTATATTTGTTCTTATATTTCATTAAATACATGTTATTTTCAAGGTTTTAATTTCCATAGTTTTTTGTAAGATGAGTTGAAGCGTCGTGGCTGAAATGTCATCTTGACTATATGTGTCAATTTACTGCTGTTACTATTTATTTCACGCTGGGTCTGGCCCAGGTTTACAATGTTTCAGATCATTGTGTTGTGGCAATACTAGAATTATTAATGACTGATTGTCAGAGATTTCTGAATCGGTCAAGGATGTGTCTATATTATTGATTCACCACCTTTTGTAAGTGCTGGTTAAATTGAAATAAATGCATTTGAGCGCGATATTAAAGAAGTCGGCATTCAACGTCGCAGGAAACCTTGTTATGGTTGTGAAATTTAAATGGTTGGGAAATTTATTTGGTAACTCTTGCCAAAATCTAAGACACTTTAGCGCGCGAGGTCGCAAGGAGTCCCTCGAGCTGTATTCTATGCTTTGATCTGACTGGCCAACATCAAAACAAAAGGTTTTACGTCATGGAAATCGTTTTGCCGCTTGGGTTGGCAGACGCTATTTTCGGAGAGTGACGACCGGAAATGCTTCTGCTGTTCGCAGGCTAGAACTAATGTAAATCGTCTTATTTCTTTAGAGTAGCAGGGCTGTCAACCCCCCATGTCATCCAATATTGAGAATTGATAGGGAGGAAGTGATAGATGACGTCATATCACATGACAAATGACGTCATTTGTACCAAAAATGCACGTTGATTCTGATTGTTCATATTTAGCCACATTATTGCTTAAATTACAGTGTCATACCAGAATTTAAGGGGAAACATTCCTGCAGCAGCTCAAACCACACAAAAGATATGAAATTTAACGGTCAGAAAGTTGATTCTACAGGAAATAACAATTTTGGCAATTATCCAGGAGATGTCAGACTCTTATCTCGAGAGCGGGAGATACGGTCCAAAATTTGGAGTCTCCCGGATTATCCGGGAGAGTTGACAGCACTGGAGTAGCTAAATCCTCGAACTCCTTGCCTTTACATATAAGAAAAACTGGATCTTTAAACGATTTCAAGGATAGCCTGAAATCCTTTCTTCATCTGAGGGATGTTTCTACATTCTCATGATAAATTTTTCTCACTAGTTTACTAATAAGCAAGCGAATATTAACGTTAAAAGCCGACGTTTCGGTATCATCATGACACCATTCTCAAGGCAAAATGAATAAATAATGTGAAGATTTGATTTCTATAGTCTCTACAAATTAGCATAATAACAAAGGATCACAAGTTCTTCAAGTGAATACCTTTGCGCAAATCAAGTTTTCTTATAAAGAGCATCTCCTTAATTAGGCAATCAAATTTGTTAGAACAATCAAATTTGTCTTACATAGACCAAGGTCTACGTAAAACCAACCAATACGGGCCTTTTACTCTACTACCAGAGCCACATGGATAATCGGTAGAAGCGCAGTCTAATTACCACCATGTTAGATCGAGCTTACCGCATATCTTCCAACTGGTCGTACTTCTCACAAGAATGCAATCGGCTTGAGACTGTATTCTTAAAGCTTAAGTACCCGAGGCACCTATTCAATCTGGCTGTCAAACAATTCGTAGATTCCAAGGTAGCAGACCAGCAGCAAATTCCATCAACCGACATGACTCCAGCCCCCATCCGAGTTGTCATACCATGTAAAGATCAGGTCTCGGCTAATATAGTGAAAAAACCTCTCACAGACCTCAGCTTAAGAATTAAGACCACTATTCAGCCCGTGTTCATCAGCAGAAAACTCAACGAAGACCTTAAATTTCGAGAAGTCAAGCCAGCCACTGTTAACCAACACTGTTTAGTTTATCAATTTCAATGTAACCTGTGCGAAGCAGGATATGTTGGTTATACTCGCGGCCACCTTCACAAACGTGTTGATGGACACAAACAGGAATCATCGTCAATTTGTAAACATTATCTTAGCGAACATAACTCAGACGTACCACCTTTTCTTTCAGAACAATTTAATAATAATAATAATAATAATAATAATAATAAATGTTATTTAGCCAGGGTTATCTCTTCAGCATAAAATGCTGCTATCAATGAGGGCCCTGAAAAAAAAAAAATATATATATATATATATATATATATATATCTATATAAAACTAGCCTAAATTACAGTAACTAAAAATATACTAAAAGTTAAAAATACAACAAGATTAAAAAATTGTTTAAAAAAAGCTATAAAGATACAGCAATTAAAATGCATTTAAAAGCTAAACTAATACAAAAACCTAACAAGTAACTAAAAAACTTTTGATCTATATAATTCCAAAATACGAGTTTTAAAAATCACAACTGACTTACAATTTCACGTTCTCACTAAGGGTTCTAACAAATTTGATTGCCTAATTAGGGACATGCTCTTTATAAGAAAACTCAAACCATCCCTAAACGTGCAGGCGGACTCAATTCGTGCAAAGGTATTCACTTGAAGAACTTGTGATCCTTTGTTATTATTGGCAAGTGTGCTGATAGGGGAGGTGACTGACATTTTGACAATCTGGGCAATTGTCATCTTTCAATAGTATGCTTAATAAATATTAGTTAATAATAAGTTTATCTTCCGTATTTTGCAGAAATGGAAGTTTCAAAATGACTTGTTTTCAGGATAAAGTGGAATTAAATCAAAATGAAGTAAGTTAGAGACTTGCTGTTAAGTATTCAAAAGGTTCATTAATTTTTAACTAATTATAGACTTGTAAACATAATGTGATCAATTAAACATCATGTATTAATGATGAGGACAGTAAATGAACTTAGCACCATCTGAGGCAGTATTGTATTAGTTGACAGTCACTAAAAGTTTTATGTCTTGATCATATCAAAAACTGTTTGGGTCATTTAGATCAAGAACTTTGAGACCTGAGTGCTTTGAGTTATGAAAGTTCTGAGAGTTTATCAATATGGTTTAATTTGGAATCAGTCAGAAATGTTATACATCTGCACATGCACATTGGAGAACTTTGAAGGTGGTTTACATGGGGACCATGGGCTTATAAAACAGATAGTACACATGCTCTGATTGGTTAAGAGGTGTGTATGTAAGAGTATATTTTTTAAAAGTAGTTGTGATGTCTAGATATCAGTTTTGCTGTGTGCACTCGCTAATCACTCGAAAGCACAATGAAAAAAGTTTTTTTGAGCTGAAAATGTGACAATCCCCATACAAATTAAAATGTATTTTGATAACATCCATTTTCCAAATGAGAGGTGATTACTTATAGGCACATGAAACTGTATGGTACAGTTGCAACCAGTTAGAATTTATCTTTTAATCAGCGCCAGTTTGCTTGTATTTGTTGGAATAGTTATTCTATAAAAGCAATAGAAAGCTTTTTGCTTTTTGGGTTTGCGTAGCCCGGTATAAACACTTTAGCTTTGGTATTTGAAGCTATGATGAGAATTAATGCTCTGTTGTAAGAGAGTCAGTCTTCAATGACTACTTACTGTATGTAAAAAGAAGTTTGTACAGAGGCCATAGACTCAAGTTTCTGTTGAAAAATTGGTAACATGCAAATGATATTTTGTCCACAAAGTCAATAGGGTTATAATAAGTTTGGCTGAAATGCTTAATGTATTTGTAACAGGACGGGGCAGTCAGCGGCAGGAATGAGAAGGATTCAAGGATTTTCTAGAGCAATTTATTTGAAACTCAAATCCATCAGCAATACAGCAACAATGAAATAAAACTAACCAAAAATAAACGGGAACTACTAAAAGATTAAACCTAGCAAAAGAATACAAAGTAAACTAAATGTTTGCATGGAACAAAATAATGCAGAATACAATGTAATTGACCACAAGGACTAAAGAAGAATATCGAAAACTAGAAAAAACATACTCTAAACTGTAAACTGAGTTATTGTAGAATTCATAAAAAGAAAACGAAGATATTTTGTTGCAATAGAACACGGTGATCTGTAGTTGAGAGTGTAAACAACTACCAAATATGTTTAAACTACCACCAGAAAAAGATAAAACGTACAAAACAGAAAAGCTATATTTTGAAGACAAAAATAGAATGGAAGTGACGTATTAGTGTCATTCAAATTAAATTTGAGAACCCGTGACAGAATACTTGTGAAATGGTATCCAACGGCTATAACATGATAAACAACAGGATTCTACATTCAAGATACAAGGTTAGATCGAAACAAAAGTAATTAAGTGGAACGGAAAAGAACTCATTTGCAAACAGATAATTCTGACCTAGCAGCACGACCTACGTGTAGTTAAAACAAAGAAAAACTAATTCAAAGCGCTACCACTCCGGCAGGTACAAAACGCAGGTCACAGGTCACAGGTCAGGGCACAGGTCACAGGGCACAGGTCACAGGACACAGGTTACAGGGCACAGGGCACAGGTCATAGGGCACAGAAAACGCAGTAAAAACAGTTAAGACACTCCATTAGGCTTTTTTGTTTTATTTCCGGTTACGCCACAATCAGGCATATGCTTGCCATCGACCATGCAAAGCCGTTTATTTTCGATAGCAAGCTTAAAAAGCTAAATGAAAACCTACCAAAGTATATCCCAGCAAAGATGAGGGAAATCTCCAAGAAGATCCTTGTGAGGCGAGCTCGGCTTCTTTGTAATCTGTTTCCTGTAGAATTAAAAAAAAA